AAGATTGCACGGGGCGCGGGAAAGCCACAGAGAGGCCACTCTGAGCAGGATCTGAAGGCGGACAACTTTAAAAGAGGGATGCACAAGAAAGAGAAAGATGGTGCAGAAAATAAAAAATGTCCCCTGAGTGGCACTGCTAGTGGCTCAGCATTATGATATTAAAAATTATTGAAGTGAGACTAAGGCTCTCAACATGCAGAGTAGTGGCTGTAAGTGAGGAAATTAGGACTATTAATCACTCAAAGGCGTTAACAATTCCAGCAGGCCAGGATGGCCCTGTTCCCAGTGGGGCTTAATAAAATACTCAGGGTTTGTAATACTAAAATAATATCTCAGATGTTTATAGCACCTTGCAGCCCAAAGTGCTTGGCAGTTGGCTGTAAATTGTCTGCCACGGCAGGGAGAGCAGAGGAAGGAAGGTGCAGCATCCCTGGAAATATGCAAAGAACTCGAGGAGGTGAAATGCTGCCAGGCATGATGGAATTTGCTCTTTAGCAGGCAAAGAGGGGTGTTGGATTTGATCCTATCTGCACAAGCTGTCTCCAATAGCTGCCTAGGGCTTTCCAGCCTCCCTCCAAAATGCAACTTCATGAGGATCCAGTGGGACAGGAAGACACCAGAAGCCAGGGTAGTTTCAGAGCAATGGGGAACTGAATCACTCTTCCCAGGGGATGGACTCCAACAGCCTCTGCTGCCACCAAGAAGCCAAACCATGTTCTCTTCTCAGCCTCAGAGCTCTCAGCAGATCCCAGAGACTGTCCAGAACCCCTGGGAGCAGCTGGGGGTAAAGCTGTGACAGTGGTTTTAGTTAAGCTTAACTTCTATTAATCTAATTTAAAACTGCGCCTTTAATGGTATTGGTGCAACCCCGCAATAGGAATTTATGACATTTCAAGCAGCTGTTTTAATTCAGAGCACTAAAACGTAGATTTGTCTGAGAATGGCAATTCCAAAGATTTCCCTATTAAAATCAAGTCTTGTTCAAATAGGTTTTCCATTGCTTTACGAAACAGCGAAAAATCAAGTCTTAGCTAAAGCAGTGTCTAGTATAAATTTGATTGGAAACTGAATTAGGGCACCCACTTTGCAGGAACACCTCGGTATTACAGAAGAACAACAGGACAGTTTCCGATTCCATGTAATTTCATTAATTCCCATTAAATTGATTTCTTTATTTCAAAACCCCTTTCTCCAAGAGACTCTTCGCAGGGGTCTCTGGGGAGGAGCTGTGCATTCTGTCGCCTGAGCAGGGGGCAGAGGCAGCACAAGGAGCTGAGAGCTGGTGTGGGAAGCGCAGGAGCCGGACACAGAGCCCGGCTGCGGAGGGGCGAGCACGGCCTGCACGCCACCAGCTAAAGAGATGCGTCTGCCTCTGATTTGCGTGTTTATCTTAGAAGCAATTTGGGTTTCTCCTTGTTTACAAGAGCCAAAGTCAGCAGACTCTCCACAAGAACAACAGCTTGGAGGCAGCGCGTGACGGGAGTCTCCTGTTCCACTCGCGGATTGGGCTGGGCTCTGCATGCAGCTGCACCTCTGCATGCAGCCCTGCAGCTCGCAGGGAGGGACAGGAGCCTTCACCCCGCAGCCTGCACAAGCACCTGCCCTTGGGAGATGAGGTCTCCATGCTCAGCTGCCTTTGCTGCCCTGTGAGCAGCAGGGAAGGGAGGGCGGGAGCGATGGCGCAGATCCCGCAGCACGGCCCCGCACACCAGATCCAGGGAAAATGGGAAATGCAACTTGGAAAAGCTTGGAATGGCACACTGATGGGCAGGAGGTGACCCTGCAGCACTCCTGATTGCACACTGGTGGGCAGGAGGTGACCCTGCAGCACTCCCAGTTGCACCGTGCAGCCCGGGGTGGTCAGAGGGATTGTGCCAGCCCCTCTGTACCCAAGCTGGGCAAACAGCTCTGCACTTGGCAAAGGGCAATGCCAAGGCTTCACACACCCTCAGGAGGCAGCAGCATATGGAATCCTGTTGGACAGGGTGGGGGATTGTTATCCCCACATGCACTTAATTATCCTCTCCCTTCTTCCCTGCCTCCCAGCTCCTCCTCACTGCAGGCTGTCCAGCTCCCGCCTCTCTCCTCCCAACCCTGAAGTCCAGGCCTGAGTAGCCTCCAGCATCAGGAGAAGTTATCACTCACAGACTTTTCTGAACTCAGGGCTTCTGTTTTATGGGCTTTTTCAGCTACAAAAATGCAGGTTACCCCAGAGTACAGCACTGCAGCAGTGTGCCACTTCCAGCACCGCTTCGTTTGATTGAAAACAAAGTTCTGATAAGACAGCTGGGGACTTCTCGGAACATCCATTGTCTTTGTCATTGCAGTGTTTTTAAAATGTCACAGATTTTGAGAAATAAAATTAGAAGGGATGCTTTCATCCGTCCAAAACAAATGTTTGGGTTTTTTCCCTCCCAAAACTCTGCTTGGCAGAATTTTCTGCTGTTCCTCGTCTTGCTCCATTTCAGAGTAACTGAACTCTGCTGGAGCATTTCTCACCAAGTGGAAGCTCTCGTCTTTGCCGAGACAACCACAGCCTTTCCAGGTCATGGGAGGAATGTTCCCTTTGGTTGTGTGTTAGATTTCAGTACATGAACTCTAATGGAGGCCTGCGGGTGCTGGGTAAATGTGCTGCCACGGGCAAAGGGAGATGCACCACTGGCCCTTGTGGGATGCACATGGCGAGCTGCTACTGCAGCAGTTGGTGCTCTGCGCTCTGCTCTGCCTCCTCTTTCTCCTGCTGTTAATGTTTGCTCTGATCTGGGTATTTGGCAGGAGAATTAAGGAGGAATAATTAGCTTCCAGTGTGAAAAAGGGAGTGCCTGGTGTTTATCTTGTCTGGAGGGTTTCCCTTGATCTCGGTCTCCCAGGGGATGGTGTGAGTGCTTTATCCATCACTCTCGGGTCCGGAGGCAGCTGCTGTGTCCCAGCCCACTCTCAGCCCTCAGCTGGGGCTGGAGACCAGTGCTCCAGCCCCACAAGGTCCCTGGCGAGGGGGCCCATCACAGAACATTTTACCTTTCCCAGCATCACTTTTCTCCAGCAAAGAGGAGCTTTGGCTACTTCTGAACTTCCATCGTGCAGCATGCTGCCCCCAGCATCCCATCACTGCCCTGCCAGCACAGGCAGGGGTAAGCCAGCCGTCCCCATCCCTGCTGGGCAGGATGAATGCAGGGCTGGGGAGCTGACCATGCCTCTGGGAAGGAATTCTGCAGTCCCACTCGATGCCACCGTGCCACCATCCAGCTGGTGGCATGCTCCTCTGCCCTGTCCCCATGGGAAGGAAGGGGCTGCTCTCAGCCTGGCACGAGCAAGGCACTGAAACATCCCCAGTCAGCAGTGCTCGAGCAGCTCCTGTTGGCTTTTCTTTCCCAAGCAGCTTCTGCCACTCCCCTGTTCCTCTGCCTCAGGATGAAAGGCTGGTGAGCATGCTTGTGACAATAAAGCTCACTGCCCCTTGGAGTCTGGCTTTGCAAAGCCATGGGGAGCTGGGTTTATTATCCTCAGCTCCAGCCCGGGATGACCTTGTGCTTCTGCCAGCATTTAAACAAAATATTTTAAAAGAGGGAGCAGATCCCATTGCTTTCTGTGCTTGCAGGGCTTTCCTGAGCCTGGGAGCTCTCTCTGGGGTGGATAGAACTGAGAGAACATGTCCAGAGACAGACAATGAAATATTGTCCTAGCTTATTGCTTTTTATTATTATTGAAGGAAGGTTTTTGCTTCCAGTCTGAGGGTTAGAAAAAATCTGAATATCACTCAAACCTCATCCCTTCCAGCCAGAATCCCAGCTCTGTGCTCTGCAGCAGAAATCATCCTCAAGCACAAGCAGCCAGAGGGGCGAGCGGGTGGTGCGGGCGGGAGCCGACCAGGATGGAAAATTCCGCGTTGCTGCCATTGTCCGGGGTGGGGAGAGTGCGGGGCAGAGCTCGGGTCCCTCCCCCGTGGCTGTGGAAAGCTGCCCATGGGCTCAGCCGGGCTCTGGCAGGCTGCTCTTTGTGCCTTGTCTGTCTGTCTGTCTGCTCCGAGTCCTGCTCTCTCCCCACGGCTGCGGGACACAGGTGGGATGCAGGCAAGCTGGGAGCACAGCAGAGTCCTGCCAGTTGTGGAGCTTCAGGGCACGAGAGTGAATGTGCAGGAGATGCACAGAGAGAAATCACAGCTGGGGGATAACTGTGTGTGAGGAGTGCAGCACCAGCTGGTGCAGCCTGCTCCTCTTCCTCCCTCACCTGCGCACGCACAGGTGTCTGTGCCACGGACATTCCTGACAAATGCAGGCAGCAGAAAGGGCAGAGGCTGCAGGAGGCCCCTGGGCTCAGCTGGGCTCCATCCTGCTGCGCTCAGCAGGGCTGGGCGACAGCCCGGGGCTGGCATGTTGGGCAGGGCTGGGAGGGAGGTTTTGCACATCAGCAAGTTCTCTGCTGCTGCCCCAGGAGCTGACACAGGCCAGGCTTATGGGAGGCATCCCATGACTCACAGCACCCAGAGCTGGCTGTCTGCGGGGGGAGATGGGCTCCAGGACTCCCTGCCCCTTACTGCAGTGATGCACACACTGAGAAAAGCTCTGCTTGCCCCTGGCTCATGCGTCTTGGGATTACTTTATTAAACAAAAAGACTCATCGGGGTCTGCAACTTTCCCCTGAGGGGCAGTGGAGGGGCAGCTCTGATCTCTGCTCTCGGTGACCAGGGACAGGAAGCAAGGCAATGCCTGGAGCTGTGACAGGGGAGGTTTAGGCTGGATATCAGGACAAGATTCTTCCAGAAGGTGGTGGGGCACTGAACGGGCTCCCCGGTGCAGTGGTCATGGCCCTAAGGCTGCCAGAGCTCAAGAAGCATTTAGCCAATGCTCTCAGACACAGGGTGGGATTTTGGGGGTGCCCTGTGCAGGACCAGGAGTTGGACTGGACGATCCTTGTGGGTCCCATCCCACTGAGGGTACTCAGTGATGCTGTGGCTGCCCTGTACAGGCAGGGCAGTAACCTGGCACCCTTCTCTCCCACAGGTACATCGGGGCACTGGGCGCGAGGGTGATCTGTGACAACATCCCCGGGCTGGTGAACAAGCAGCGACAGCTCTGCCAGAGGTACCCTGACATCATGCAGTCGGTTGGCGAGGGAGCCAAGGAGTGGATCCGGGAGTGCCAGCACCAATTCCGGCACCACCGCTGGAACTGCAGCACCCTGGACCGCGACCACACCGTCTTCGGCCGGGTCATGCTGAGAAGTAGGTCCTGCCCTGTCCCCTTCCCGCCACCCTGGGACTTCTCTTGCTGAGAGTCTCTCCTCCCACTGGGCTGCCATGCCCGGTGGCTTGGATTACTCCCTGAGGAGAGCTTTGCCTTTCCTTGTAAATTAATCAAGTCGTAATGGGAGCGGAGCAGTGCGTTTGGAATAGCTGCACCAGATGAGATGGAGCAGGGGGAGCACTGGGGGAGAAGGGGGAAGGAGGAGACACCTCCGGAGAACAGGCACATATGTAAACAGTAATGGGATATATAAATATTTGGAGAGCGGCGTTGGCCAGGACTCAGCAATTCACGTGGGAACTGGCTGTTCCCTCGCATGGCAAGGGAGGCAAGGCACAGATGCAGCTCCAGTCCCTGCTCCAGGCTCTGAGGTGGAGGAGGACCATGGCTGCGGGGCAGGTGCCAGCCCTGCACAAAGGACTGGGCATGGCCCTGGCGGGAGAGACGGATACAACACAAGCAGGGATGCACCCAGGAAAGGTACCCAAGGAACAGAGAGGAAAGGCGCGATGGGGACAGGGGTGGGGCGGTTCCAGAGCAGGAGCAGCACCATGGGCTCCAGCTGCCCCGGGAGTGCTCTGGGAGCAAACAGGCCCTGGGAGCCAGCACAAGCCCCAGCACAGGCAGCAGCGCTGCAGGACAGATGCTGCTGCATCCCGTGACGTGCTGGGAGCATCCAGCCATGTGGCCTCCAAATCAAAAGCGGCTGGAAGAGTCTTTGCACTCACAGCTCGTATGGAGGACACGTGAGTGCCACAGAAGGAGCCGGTGAGTGGGGGGCTTGCCCCTCGCTGGCAGGGGGATGGAGCAGCTGCCCGTGGGGTGGACAAGCAGCAGAGCCACAAGCCAGATGCCTGACCCAACTGGAGGAAGGGAACTGGAATGCTGAATGAAGCTTTTACCCTGCCATGCTGCAGACTGCTGCTCAGCCTCTCAGTTCCCATCACAGCACCTTTTCTCCTGCTCGCATCCTCTCCTGGCAAAGGATGGGGAACGATGAAAGCTCCTCACCACAGCCCCATCCTGCGAGGCCCAAAGAGAGTTCTGCTGCCTTTGAAGTTGCTTTCAAAGGCTCTCGAAATGAAGACTAACATGGTTTTGATTTGCAGCTTCTTTTACAGCATTATAAAACCAGCTGCGAACTTGAACCAGAGACACAGAATAGCAGCAGCAAGCTGTGCTGTACGGGAGGAGCCGCGCCCGGCCCGAGGGAGGCAGGCAGGGAGGGAGGCAGGGAGGGCAGCCGCCCTGGCCCCAGGTGCTGGCTGCTCTCACCACCGTGGGCATGTGCCCTGAGCACTGCAGTCAGCCTGAGGGCTCCAGGGCAGCCGGGGCCGGACACTGTGGTCACCAGAGGTGGCTGGGCTGGGCTTATCCTCATACGGGATGGTGTCGCTCCCCGAGGCCTGGTTCCTCATGGGCTGCAGCCTCTTGGCACAGCCTGGCACGCTCCCCAGGGCCTGGTTCCTCATGGCCTGCAGGCTCTTGGCACAGCCTGGCACGCTCACTCCCCGTTCCTGTCTCTCTCCCCGGGCAGGCAGCAGGGAGGCCGCCTTCGTGTACGCCATCTCCTCGGCCGGGGTGGTCTATGCCATCACGCGGGCGTGCAGCCAGGGGGACCTCAAGGTGTGCAGCTGTGACCCGCTCAAGAGGGGCCGCTCCAAGGACGAGCGCGGGGAGTTCGACTGGGGCGGCTGCAGCGACAACATCAACTACGGCATCCGCTTTGCCAAGGCCTTCGTGGATGCCAAGGAGAAAAAGGTGAAGGATGCCCGGGCGCTGATGAACCTGCACAACAACCGCTGCGGGAGGATGGTGAGTGCAGCCCTGCAGCAGAGCCCAGAGCTCTGGGACCTTCCCGAGGGGACTGGGCAGCCAGAACAGCTTGGCCAGAGAAACGGGACCTTGAGCACCTTTGGAGGGCAGCTCCTGCTGTGGATAAGGCTGGATGCTGCCCTGCCTTGCCCTAGGGAATGGCAGGACCTCGCTCACCTTTGCCTCCTGTGTCCTTGCTGCTGCTGGCATTGGTGACCCCATACACAGCCTCTGTCTCCCATTAGGCGCCCCATCCCACACAGCCAGGGCTGGTAAGCTGCACCAGCAATGAGTAGACACTGCTGCAGTATCTATGCCCAGGGTGACCACTGGTCCCGACCCATCTCTCTTCCCACAGGCTGTGAAGCGCTTCCTGAAGCTGGAGTGCAAATGCCACGGCGTCAGCGGCTCCTGCACACTAAGGACTTGTTGGCTGGCAATGTCAGATTTTCGAAAAACAGGGGATTACCTGAGGAAGAAATACAACGGGGCCATCCAGGTGACGATGAATCAGGATGGCACTGGCTTCACCGTGGCCAACAAGAACTTCAGGAAGCCCACAAAAACAGATCTGGTGTATTTTGAGAACTCACCTGATTACTGCGTGATGGACAAGTCAGCAGGTAAAACCTGGAGTCATTACCCAAAAGCATCTCTTCCTCCCTTCCCAACAGGCCAGCAGCTCCCAGCTAGCCCAGCCTGGGGGCTCAGCTCCTCCACCCAACCCATCTTTGGAGAGGGGGTTACCCAGACCCAAGAGTCCCCACAGCACCCCACACCTGCACAGGCAGGACTGCATTTGTCCAAAACCCCTCAGGCTTCTGGTCATCACAGAAGAGCCCATCTTCTGCAGCACAAAGCTCCCTTGAACAGCCAACAAAGAGCCTGCTCCATGCACAGGCTGCTCCTCTGAACACAGCCCGAGGTTGGGATGAGAGCAGGGAACAGGCAGCAGGGCTGCTGGACTCCAGCTGAGATGATCAATGGTTTCTCAGCCTGGAGCATTCCCAGCTTAGTTCACAGCAGCCATGGGAGTTCAGTGGGGAGCACATGGTCCTGCCATGCTCAGCCTAAGCAGAGAGGGCATTTTGAGCTTTGCCAGCTGCAAAACCTGGCTCGGTGGGCACACACTGCTCCAGGGGTTCCCCAAGGCACAGAAGGGCTACAGATCCCTGTCCCCATCCCTGTCCCCTACTGTCTTATGCTCTGGCACCAGCAAACACAGGCTCTAGCAGTGGGCATGGGAGGGGGGCCATGCAGATTGCCACAGAAACCCAGGTGGTTTGGGGTTGAAAGGGATGTGAAAGACCATCTCATTCCAACCATCCATCACAGGGGACATGAGAGACACCAAAGCTGCATCCGTGGCCAGGCTTGTGGCATCCCATGTCCATAAAGCAGTCGCACCCAAGGTCCCCCTGCCGATGGAGATGCCCAGTGTCCCCAGTAACCCCTGGGCTGGGTGGGCGGGCAGGGAAGTGCTGGGACCCAGGGAGAAGAGCATCCTGACGTGCTCCGTTCCCCCGCGGGATGGGCGGGCAGGGAAATGCAGGGACACAGGGAAAAGAGCAGTCTGATGTGCTCCGTTCCCCCGCAGGCTCCCTGGGCACGGCGGGGCGGGCAGGGAAGTGCAGGCACACAGGCATGTGAACACCCTGACCCGCTCCGTTCCGCAGGCTCCCTGGGCACGGTGGAATGGATGGGCGGGCAGGGAAGTGCAGGCACACAGGCATGTGAACACCCTGACCCGCTCCGTTCCGCAGGCTCCCTGGGCACGGTGGGATGGATGGGCGGGCAGGGAAGTGCAGGCACACAGGCATGTGAACACCCTGACCCGCTCCGTTCCGCAGGCTCCCTGGGCACGGTGGGATGGATGGGCGGGCAGGGAAGTGCAGGCACACAGGCATGTGAACACCCTGACCCGCTCCGTTCCGCAGGCTCCCTGGGCACGGTGGGATGGATGGGCGGGCAGGGAAGTGCAGGCACACAGGCATGTGAACACCCTGACCCGCTCCGTTCCGCAGGCTCCCTGGGCACGGTGGGATGGATGGGCGGGCAGGGAAGTGCAGGCACACAGGCATGTGAACACCCTGACCCGCTCCGTTCCGCAGGCTCCCTGGGCACGGTGGGATGGATGGGCGGGCAGGGAAGTGCAGGCACACAGGCATGTGAACACCCTGACCCGCTCCGTTCCGCAGGCTCCCTGGGCACGGTGGGATGGATGGGCGGGCAGGGAAGTGCAGGCACACAGGCATGTGAACACCCTGACCCGCTCCGTTCCGCAGGCTCCCTGGGCACGGTGGGATGGATGGGCGGGCAGGGAAGTGCAGGCACACAGGCATGTGAACACCCTGACCCGCTCCGTTCCGCAGGCTCCCTGGGCACGGCCGGCCGCGTGTGCAGCAAGGCGTCCCGCGGCACGGACGGCTGCGAGGTGATGTGCTGCGGCCGCGGCTACGACACCACGCGCGTCACCCGCGTCACCAAGTGCGAGTGCAAGTTCCACTGGTGCTGCGCTGTGCGCTGCAAGGAGTGCGAGGACACTGTGGACGTGCACACGTGTAAGGCCCCCAAACGGGCCGAGTGGCTGGACCAGACCTGATGAGACGGGAGCACTGAGGGAAGAAGCCACTGCCACCCCCCCTTGCAATCGTTTTTGAACCCCTGTGCCCTGAGGGCCACGATGTTCTGGGAGCTGTAGTTCAACTGCATGGCTTTTATTTAATTAATTCTCCAAAGCACTAAGGAAAGGACTACGGTTCCCAGGAGGTACTGTGGGCCCTTCGACGTGCTCAGCAAAACTAATCCCTGACCTAGCAGGAGGCTGCGATCCTTGCTTAAACTGTGAACCTGCAAAGGTTCTCTTGGCAAAGGGATGGTGCGACCAACAGAGACTCGGAGGACTGACTGTCGGGACGTGATGGCTGAGGAATCCTGCACCTCCCCAGAGAACCTGTTACAGTAAAGCTTCACCAGCGAAAAACACTAGTTCAGAATAATCCACTCTTGCAAAAGCATTCTTGCTTTTTCTTTTTTGCAAGGCCAGAGGAAGGGTGTTGTGAATCCGTAAGACAGTTCCATGATACCTGTGTTTCCCTGGAGCAGACCTGACGCATCACTAACCCCATTGAGCAAAAGTCACCTCTGCACAAGGCTTGTGTCCCCAGCACAGGGAACAAGTGGAGCTGTAACCTGGAACTGAACTCTGAAGGACTGCACAGAGACAAAGGCCACCTCTAGATGCTGGTGGACACACAGGTGTGAGAGAGCAAATGAAACCTGTGAACTTACTGGTAGGTTCTGAAGTCAACCATACAACAGCATCTCTGTACAACTCACGTGTATGTTGTGTATACTGCTTATTATTTTAAGTCAAAATTCATTATAAACCTGTACCAGAAAATTATGTTCCTTTGATTTTTGAATTCCCACTCACTCAGCTGAGAATGTCCCCAGAGCAGGAACCAGCCCACAGCGTTTCTCTTCCCCGCTATTTGCAGCTCCCACCGTCCCAAAGCTTCCTACAGAGCTGAGCATCCAAAGCCCCAGGGAATCCTTTCTCAGCAGGATCACACTTCAGGATGCCCCATCCCCAAAAGTGTTCAAGGCCAGGTTGGAAAGGGCTCGGACCAACCTGGTCAAGTGAAAGGTGTCCCTGCCCATGGCAGGGGGTGCAACAAGAAAGGTTTTACAGTCCTGTACCACTCAAACCATTCCATGGTTCTACAGCACAGGGTCAACAGGGGATGCTAGATAAACTTACAACTCTTTCCCATTAAAAAAAGCCCTAAACACTCAAAACATAATCAACTAAAATTGAAGCTGATGAGAGGAGGGGAAGGGCAGCTGCAGAGTTCCTGGTAGGTAAGTTACAGGGATCCACCTCTCATCTCTACAAATTTCCTCTTTTCTCTACCAATTTGAGCAAGCAGACATTACAAAAATGCTTTACTTAGCGTACAAATATTTTATAGAGTCTGGTCAAAAGGTCCCAATCCACACAAACAAATGGAATGCATAACAGTTGAACCTGGAAACAAAACTGACCCAGGTAAAAAAGAAAAATTATCTTAACTATTGCAATTCCTGAGGCTGAAAGTGCTCCTGCAGTTCCCCCCCCAGAGCCAGGCTGCACATTGCCCCAGGCACGCTGTGCCTCCTCCCCGAGCCAGAAAAACGGGGTTCATTTTCCTAATGCTGCTCAGCATTGTGCTGATGGGCAAGGATGTTTCACACAGAGGAAGTTTTCATGGAAGCTCCAAACTTGTAACAATAGGAGAGGCCAAGTCAACAGGGACATCCACCTGCTTTTTGCTGGGGTCTGCTTTATGGCAGCCAGAGGCCATGTCAGAGGTCTCTGAGGAGCTGGGGTTTCCTCTGGAAGCAGTGACAAGTGTGGGCAAGGGAGCTGAGCAGGCTACAAAGCAAAGTCTGAAGGAAGGTCAAAGGAACAGGATGGGATTAAGGCAAAGAAGATTATTCTGGTCCTAAGCCACCCATCGGCTACTGCACCAAAAGCATTTCTGAACAGGGATCTTACTCAATGGCCCTAGGAAATAATAGTTTAAGTGGGGAGAGAAATCCACTTTAAAACCAGTTTTGATGGAGGAACTGCTCAAAGAATTAAAAGAGCCTGCCATGGGCTGAATTAAGCACCTTCCTCCACGCCAAACCCCTGAGAGTGCTCATGCAGAAAAAGGACCTTCAGCAGAGCTGCTGCAAAGCCACAGCCAAGCCAACAGGTGACATTTTATTGGAGATCTTGAGAGAATTACAGGAACCCCACCTTCCCACTGCCTAAACTGTTTCTTACAGAATTAAACCAATTCCCTGACAAGAGGGAATTGGCAGCACCTTCCCTGCTCTTGCACTGGAGCTGGTGTTTACCCAGGAGACTTCTGGTCTCCCCCCAGGCCCTTCCAAGACCCCCCGAATTTCAGGGAGACAATTTTCCCATCCTGGCTGTACTGAGGAATGCTGGCAGGTGAGCAGGAGGTCTGAGGCAGGCCCAAGGCATCCCGAGCCAGTGCAGCATCCGTCAGCACAGGCTCATCAACCGGGAAGAGCCTCTCATTTATCTTCATTACTGCTCCACCTCCTCTCAATTTACGACAGACTTGAAAAAATGCTGCCCCCTCAGCCATCAATCCAAGCCTCCCTCCCAGAGCAGGACACACTCCCTGGGCTGGGAGGGACCCAGTGCTGGGGACCCGGGGTCAGCCATCAACAAACGCTTCTTCTTCTGCAGAGGACCCCGGGGGTGTCTGTTGGAGATCTGGGGGCCAGCTTGATGAATGACACCTTTATCAATGGCTGCTGCCTAAATGTATCCTCCTCTTGAATGCAGAGGTTCATATTTTAAAACAAAGAGGGAAACTCCTGAGGACAGGTTGCCTTTGGTTTATTGGCTTCATCACGGTGATGCTGAAATTGGATGCCTCCAGTGCTCTGTAGAGTAACCACAGCTGAGACAGGAAACCTCCCTACTCCTGCCAGGTCCACCTGTGCAGCCGCATTCCTCTGTCACAGCAGTAAATAAGAGAAGTAAAAATACTTGGCTCAAGTGCAAGTGCTACAGAAGTACCTGGAGCAGTCATGGCACAGCCCACTGAGCTCAAGTCCACCTGACAGAAGAAGTGACAGCTTCTTCTGCTAAGGACTATGCAAGGCTACACTCATTTGTTAACAAGCAATTAGCAGAAAATCACAGAACTGGAACAGAAATACACCAGTCAGCCAGAGCAAATTCCCAGTGCTTGTACAAGAGAAGGCCCCACTGTGGGCTGAAGGAAACTCAGACTGGTCAGTGCCCTACTGCAGATGAGCCCCACAGAAGCCCCCCTGAGCACACTCACCCTTGGCAAGCAGCTGCTTTCCATCTCTCTGAAGGCTACAGTCTCATCAGGGAACACTCAGTCCCTCTCACAAACCCCTCTGAAGTAATATGCCTAAAATGTGGAGGGAGCCTTTCATGCAAGTTCATCTTCAAATTATCTTTCAGTCAAAAGCACGGCTGCACTGAAGGACAAGGTGCAGAATTAATTCCTTCTGAGCTTCTGAATATATTACCTTCTCTGAAGCAGCTGGACAGGACACACAGGAGGAGGCAGAAGGCACTGGAAACATGGAATCATGCGCAGGGCCAGGAATTGGACTTGACATCCAAATGTTCCTTCTGGGTCTCTTCCATAGCCCAGGAGACTCTATGATTCTGATTTTCTCCATGTGGGTGAGAACAGGCCTTAGCCCAGGTGACACCACCATTTTTTGGGACGGAGGTAACGGCAAGATCCGTAAATTCTTGAGCTCAGCAATGCAGCTGACCTCATTGCCAAGCTACATCCCAACCCCAACACCCCCTTGTCTCTCCATGGGCCTTTTCTGTTCTCCACTGGGTTCCTAAAGGCACAGAAGGCTTTGCTCAGGTACCTGTGACCAGTGTAATCCATGGGGGATTACAAGCCTGCCGTAACAGACCCAGCCCTCCGGGGCAGATTTACTGTGGCATTTGGACTGACACTCACACAGCCTGTCAAGGTCTGTGCAAGCTTTCACATCCCATATTCCCGAAGCAGAGTCACAGAGGGCTGCTCCAGCTAGCAGCAGGGGGGTCACTGCTCTGCCATCACAGCCAGTGAGTCAAGGCAGGAGAATGCAATAGTCACATACTGTGTCACTCTGTTTTATAACTGATGAAAGCCCACAGCCAAATTAGCAAAGAAATCAAGGGGCTGTTAAGAGAAGGGTCCGGCCGATGAGGCCGCACTGTGATCGCACAAGCCAAAGCATCCAGAGCAAAAGGAAAATGCTGCTGGCCAGAAAGAACCAAAGGAGGAAGATCCCAGTGGAGGAACACGCTCATCGTGGTGGATGCACCCTGAGTGATGCCGTCAGCAAGGGCGTGTTATCTCGCTCTCCCCAATGACCAGACTCACTGAAGATCCCACCAAAGAGCACAAAACAGCAGTCAAGGCTGGAAATGAGGAAAATTCCAAGCACATGAGCAGCATCCCTGATCACGGCCTTGTCCCTCCAGTAAGGGCTGGGGCGTGCAGAGCACACCCTGCCAAGGAGGCTCCAGACAGGGAGGAGGCAGCCAGGAGACAGAGCTGGAAACAAAGCTGCCTTTACTCTTTATCCACCTTTACTGTAAAATGGGTGAATTCAGAGCACAGGACACTGAACACAGAAGCCCACTGTGATTGCTACTGTCATCCTGACTGATCTGTAGATATTTTTCCCAAAAGCAGGTGACAACAGCTCATACATCACCTCTGCAGCCATCCTAATGAAATGCAGACAAGAGGAGTCTGTCCCTCTTAACAGCAAAACAGGGCAAGCTGGGCACTGCTCAGAATCTGGTCGAGTAGGAATGCTGGAGAAGAGGTTCTGACTGGCTATCAGGTGCAGGTTCTCTCCCCAGAGGGTGGTCGGGCACTGAACAGGCTTGCCAGGGAATGGTCACGGCCCCCCGGCTGCCAGAGCTCCAGGAGCCTTTGGACAGTGCTCTTCAGGCACAGGGGGGATCACAGGGCTGTCCTGAGCATGGCCAGCAGCTGCACTTGACCTTTGCAGGTGCCTTCAGCTATTCCATGATTCCATGAACCCCACGGTGCCCTGTGCCAAGAGCACAGCGCAGCTCACACGTGCTCCTGGCCTGCACAGCCGGGCCCATTCTGACACCTCAGCACAGCCTCACTGGCTCCCACACACACCCCAAACCCCAGTGCTTGGGAGGTGCTGCTCCCCTCGCTGTCTCCCTCTGAGCAGTGGGAAGGGCAACAGTAATTTATGTCTGGCCGAGCCCCCTCCATACATCTCCTTTCCCTAAGGGAGTCTGCTCTCATATTTAACCTCTTCATTCTGCTGGCACTGGAGTGGATGATGCAGCTCGTGGAGAGGTGCAGGCACTTCCCTCTCCCCCTTCTCCTGGAATCTTCCTCTCACTTGTGGTCCTTGGGATTCACCCAACGTTTCTCAGGAAAAAAAGAGAGAAAAAAAAAAAAGAGGACCTCTAGACAAGTATGCATTTAATAAGCAGTGAGACAAATAAGCTCCAGTTATCCCAGCAGAATTACAACACCAGAGAACAATTTTCTGCATTCCTCTGAAGGCCTGAAGGAACCCAATTGCCTGCTCTCAGGCTAAATAGGTACCAGACACCAAGCGCTCCATAAGCAAACAGAGCCCCCAAAGTGCAAAAATGAAATAAGTAAAAAGCTTCACATTACATATAAACCAGCCGTTTGCACCTTGTTATTAATGGTCTCAACTATGACCTTTACACCCTGCCTTGCTCAGAGTCATGGATCTATGAGGCTTGGCACCCTCACAACAATTCCAGGATGAGGAGCAGGGAATAAACCTGCCTAGCCAGTGCTGGAGAGATGCAGGAAGGGAACTGGCCTGTGACAAATCTGGATGGAGAACCACCCCAGGGCCATCTCCATATGAATTTGTCCCCATAACCTCAGTGACCAAGGTGTCTGACAGCATGAAAAGTCCTTCTGCCACAGACATACATGCATAAAAGCTACTAACAGGCATCTATTCCAAATTTCAAAAATGAAGGACTCCCAGCATGGTAAATACCTGTCAGAGATTACTCCCCAGAATCCTGATGTGATTTATAACCCACATGAACTAGGGCTGCAATGAACAGACCTTGTTACCCTGAAATATTTTTTAGTCTGAACTGCCTCACCTCTGCCAAAGCCTTGTGGAAAAGCTATTGCCATCCCAATGGCTGTAAAGTCACCACAGTCCTTGTTTCAAAGAAGTTACATCAATATTCATCTTGTCCTGAGTAATAATCGTAATTTTGAATGTATATATACATACAGATGTATACGTGTATATACACACACACAATTGATATGGTATCACTGAGGTATGGGTCAGGTGTCTGCTCCTAAGTGGCAAAGGAAAACTTCCCAAAAACATGGACAATCCTGCATAGACAGCACTCCTTCCTAGGATTGCTGGCACTTCTAGAGACAGGAAGATTTTCATTACACAGCCTGCTGCCAGCTCTCCTTTCAGAACAAGCCCATCCCCTTTCTGTTACTGTTATGTCAAGGGAGGACAGTGAGAGAAAGCAGCTCTTGGGATGATACATGGGAGGCAGAGCTTCATTTATAACCCCACACAACTGCTGGAAAAGGTTCAACTTTAAAAAGCATTAGGCTGGTTACCTTATGGGCCCCTGCAGACCATGAAGTGAAATCACATGAACACAACAGGCCTATTAATCACCACAGTGATTCCAAGGTGAGAAACAGCCCCAGTGACCAACAGGAAAAAAAGTTGAGAAAATTACATTCTAGTAGTTAGGTAACTCTAAAAACACTGGTAGTATCTTTCTGTAGGGCTTCCCTTTTGATTCCTTGATGGATTCAAACAGTTAACCTGGATTTAAGTCCAGTCAACAGAAATATACAGTGGAGAGCAAACAATGGCATGTCCACCTAAGCAAGTATGTTTCCCTTCAGAGTTCTAAATAAACTACATTTACATGAGATGCAGAGGTGACTTTCTGCTTCACAGAACTTGGTTTACAAGGTAAAGAAGGATTTGAAAATAAGCAAAAAGAAAAGTAATTAATTCTTCTTTTGCTCTAATGGGAGAGCAGAAATGGAAGTCACACCAATTACCTCAAACCACGTGGCTGCCACAGCCATCTTTTCACCTCTGCAGTAAACAAACCCTCAGGGCTGCTCTGCATGTGAAGCAAATCCTTTGAAGAGCTTTCCACATCTCCATTCTCTTCAAGTCTTCATAACAACACTGAAACTACTTTGGACTAACAGAACTTGAAGGTTCAGCTCTCCCAACAGACTCCCCTGCAGATACCACAACACTTTGGGCAGTTTCAGAAGCCATCCTGTCTTTCAAAATGCCTTGTCTTGAAGAATAAAAGATGCACAACTAATTCTAAAGAAGTAATGTGAAATAGATGTTTACCATCTCCTTGAGTAATGCAAGCTCATACGATAGAGAAGAAACAAATCTTTGTTTGCACATTGTAATCTGTATTTAACAGACACTTAAGAAGTCAACAAATTCAATGTGTTAAGTAGCAACCTTTTAATAAAGAAAGCAGAACCATACTTTGCTGTTAACAAATATTTTGAAAAAGGCTTATGAAATTAAATCTAAGCCAAGTATCTGGTGCATCTGCAGCTGAGAAGGAAGCATCAGTACTCCAAACACCTGCTCAGTTTGTGTATTCTCCTTTCTTACAGAGGAAGTATGAGCTTCCAGTTGTCCATCTGATTTAGAGAGCAATAAACTATTGCTCAACAAGAACTATTTTCTTAGATGATTACAGATTAAGGCCAAAGGAGAAATTCACATGTTAAGCACCATGAGCATGGAAGCCAGTCAAGGATATCAGTTTGAAGAGCCCAGATTTCTTCCCTGGCTCCCACAACTGGGGTTCAGCCAACCACCAAGTGAGGCTCATGAGAATAAAATCAAACTATCGTGGAAAATACACGCCAGTCACACCAGTCAGCTGATGCCAGGGGCTGGACAGCAGCAGGTCCTCAATGTGTTCCAGAGTGAAGATGAAGGGTGGAAGAAGAGTCCCAAAGCACTGGAAGAAACACAACACAACCATAAATCAGCTCAGTTTCCAAACCAACTTCCTTCTGCAGACTCAAGGTATGAGCAAACACCACCCCGTGTCTTGCCCTCAGGGCAACAGAATTCCAACCCCTTGGCTGCTGCTGCCACGAAACAGGCGTGTTGTGAACATCAGACATTAATGCAGACACACAGAAGCAGCAGCAGCCTCTGGAAGGCCCAGCCCAGGCTCGTGCACTCACCCTGGGCGCAGTCCCTTCAGCTGGAGGCCAGAACACTGGGAGCGCTCGCTGGCCACAGCACCCGCAGCACCTGGGCAGAAACACGGGGTTAGCATGGCATTCCTCCACTCCGCCAGCTGCTCAGCACTGTGCCCTCAGGGCTCCACACACCAGGGAGCACAGGACAGCGAATTTTCAGAGAATCACACAACTCTTTAGGTTGGAAGGGACCTCAGAGATCACCCAATTTTTTCAATATTCAGGCATAGATTATTTACAGGTCACTGACCCAAATGGAACAGCCCATCCACCAAGGCCAGTCTGTGCTTCCAGATGAGATCCATATTCTAGATGCCATCTAAACAGTTCCAGAAGTAAGATTAGGCTAAAACAAATCATGCAAACTCCCCTGCACCTTCTCAACCCATCCCCCAGATATTCTGCTGGCACTCAGGTTATCCTTGTGCAAACCCTCATTTCGTGAGTTAGCAACAACAGGACTCATTTACTTTGAAAGTTTTACTTTGGCCCTCCTGGCTTCTATCATAACCTCAAATATTACATTAAAAAGGCTTTTAAAACATAACATTCACAGCAGTGTAGGTGCTTTTCCTTGCAGTGGGCTTCTTCCCTGCCTGTTAGCGTGTGGCACCTTCACATTAAGTGCATGAGTTAAGATGTAGATTAGCAAGGCAAGAAACCTTTGCCCTTGGCATCGACATTCAGCTCTGACAGGAAACTTCAGGCTTTTTTTTCCCTACCAAGTGTAGAACCACTCATTACACATTGGCAGGGAAATGCACATCTCCAAACTATACACATTTTCTCTTAGATAAGCAAAAGACTCAAGTGTTTATAAATATGAAAAGTTCAGCAGCTGGCTAAAAAGTTAATTCTCCAGTCTCACTTAATGAGCTTTGGGGAAAGTGGTAGGGGGATTTGTTCTTAAAGTAAAGCAGAGTGCCACATAAAGCAAGACTTGCCAGACACGGCTCTGCTTTGCCCTATTTTCTGTCCCTAGACGGCTGCCACAGACAAAATGGCAAGGAATCCTCCAACAGGGAGCTAGGGAACAGCCAGAATGAAGAATGTTTTCTCCTAATCTTGCAATCACAAAAATTAGCCAATTTTTAATTTAAATCCCATGACTTCTTTCTTTGTTGTGAAAGTATCAAGCAATCCATATAAAACCACTTTGGAACAGGGACTGTCTTAGGATTTTGTCCAATTCCCTGAAAAATAAAGTTGTTTTCAGTAGGATACAGCAGGAACATTGCTGCACTATTTTTTCAGTATTTTAATAATAATTTACACTGGTCTATTCCAGTAACATAAAGTTCTGATGTAAAAAATGGGATTGATCTGCTTGGAATTGTCCAGAGAAGCTGTGGCTGCCCCACGCTTGGAAGTGCCCAAGGCCAGGCTGGATGGAGCTTGGAGCACCCTGGGGTAGTGGAAGGAGGTGGAACTGGATGGGCTTTAAGGTCCCTTCCCACCAAAGCATTCTGTGACTCTATGAAGGTATGTTCATTGTTTTCAGGAACTTTTGAGATCTGTTTACAGTGCCTGCTATCACTCTGTGTCACTGGCGTTCTCGGTGTCTCTGTATTACAGAAGGAACTGTGCAACCTCACTTTTGCAAGATGATATACGTCCACCTAGTCCTCCATCTATGTAATTATTAAAAAATAAAAATTCATACTGAATGAAAAAACAATCAGACCCTTTTGTCTGCAATTTTGACATAAGCTGTTTTATCTAGCAGCATTTTTCAGCTTCGTCAGACAGTTCAGATTATTGTCATTTGCATACATTCCTACCTTCTGTCACTTACTGCAGCTACTTCAGAACCAGAGCTGTCTGATGATCAAGACCAGTGATTCTCCAAGAGATCAGAAATCTGAGTGACACAAACAGCGAGGCCCAGGGAGCACCAGCTGGTACTGCAGCCCCTGTGGATCTTCTGCCACTGCCTGTCCCACTGTCCTCAGCAGCACCAACTCACACAGCTATCACAGAACCACAGAATAGTTTGGGTTGAAAGGGACCTTAAAGATCACCCAATTTCAGCACCTTGTCAAGGGCAGGGGCACCTTCCACCATCTGAGGCTGCTCCAAGCCCCATCCAAGCTGGCCTTGGACACTGCAGGCATTCGGCAGCCGCGGCTGCTCTGGGCGCCCTCGCGGGCTCCAGGTGCATCAGCAAATGCCCAGGGCTGTGCCAGCAGCAGTGCCCAGCACCTGCAGAGCCCCGGGGCTGCAGCACAGCAGAAATCCCCGTGGCGCCGGCTCGCAGGGCCGCGGTCCCGCTGCATCACACTGTGTACATTGGAACTACTAAATGCTTCCTTGTGATTTTTGGCCACTTGGAATATTTTTAGCAATTTGCCAAGGTTTACCCTGTGATTTATTATGGAGGAAACAAACTCAAGCACTAACAAATGAAAATATGTAAACTCAGACTTTTCAAGTCCATAGAAAGGTATTCAACTTCTTAAACCCCTTCTGAGGCATTCAGCTTGCTGTGGATTCAACTGCTGGAAAAAGAGTTTGATTAAGAAGTAACTGAAATGTAATCTAAGGAGTCACTGCTTGGAGATTTATAGTGAAAAATTCCATATACACAATACTTTCTAACTGCCATTCCTAAAACTGTGTTCTAGGTTTCTTGGAAATTTAAGAGTTGGAAATACATTTTGCATTGCTTTTATCTACAGCCAAAGCACTCCAGAAATACCAGCTAGAACTTTATTATCTCAAATTATTATATTTAGTAAGTTAAAGAACAGTAAGATTAAAAATACTTGAAATAATGAAATATATAGGAAAAATAATTTTAAAAGCCTGAAGCACTAGAATTACTTGAAGATATAATGCTCAATATAACAATAATAATTGCTTTATTGGAGTACGCTTGAGTGGAAAGGCTGGTATCATTAAATAGAAGATAATCTTCCATTTTTGGTATGAAAATTCAAGTAGATGCTACTGCTACAGACCTCCAGAAGACAAGAGAGTATGTATAGAATGTTAGCAGCCATCAAAGCATTATCTGTAGTAAAACTATTGAAGATATCTACTAACGGAAATAGAATCACAGAATGGTTTGGGTTGGAAGGGACTTTTAAAGTCATCTAGTTGTAGGACCCCTGTTTGTGAGCAATAAAAACAGAAATGTTATTCTGATGTTGAGTATCATTGTTTCTTACAAGTTCAAGAAACCCAGCAGCGAGAACTTCACCAAGCAATTCTTTGTTACCATAACATTTGACCTTGTATCTCTTTGGAAATCATACAACTTTGCTAATGCAGCCCTTACAGAATTAATCAAATAGTTAGCCCCTAGTTACTATGAACCCAGCCAATTACAAGCAGCACTGAAATTTGTCACTGGCATGTCCAACTACGTTTTCCAGCATAAAGATCAACACCACTGTGTGGAAATGAGGCCCCACTCTCAGACCTGCATGACTTGGACACCAGACTGGGCTCACCAGTTAAGCCAACACTCCTAGGAACAAAGTATTCTCAAAAAACAAAGGCTTTCCTCCTGGGTCTCCATTACCTGTTGCATTAAACCAGCCAGGATGCAAATGTCTTTTACCCTCTATTTTGACTAGCAAAGCCAGAATAAATGATTCCCTTAAGAGTTCAGGGCTCTTTATTTGCTACTCTGCTCTACTGCACAAGATCCACAGTTCAGTAAAGGCCAAACTTACTGCTTGGAGAAGTTTGAGAAGCTGGAGCTGGAAGCTGCCTAGGCACTTTGTTTCTCAGCTTCCAGAATCCAGGGAAAGATGACGAGGTTACAGACAGAAGATGCTAACAAATAAGTAAGGGAAAGAAACCCTAAAAATAGATATACAACCACTGGCTGAGCTCCTGAAAGGTTAAGTGACAGCTAAACTCAGTTCTGAATCTGGTTTGAAGTCACCAGTTACTTTATTTGTTCTCATCCATTCCATTTACATCATGCTATGGCTTTTCAATGCTCACAGAGACCTGTTTCCTGCAGCTGAGTCTTTTACTCATTCTGCTCATAATCTCCACTCAACCAATTAATTTTTGAGGCTCTCCCACTGTAGTTGTGCACTTCCACAAGGATAAAATCCATACTCACCACAGTGCTCTGTGGAAAAATTTCTCTGGTGCTGAAATGCTGCTCTCTAACCATGACAGAGCAAATCAAAGCCATGGTATGTAACGGTAATAGTTAATCACTTGTCAAAGTAGACATTTCGTCCAAATTTCAACATGTGTTTGTCACTACCAAGATTCTTATAAAAGCAGATAAAATAGTTTATGCTCCACAAGCATGAGATTGACTAGAGGCTACTTTGCCCTGGACCTCAAAATTCCCAAAAACCCACAAGATACCCTGGCAAGCCCTGTGATACACAGTACTTACAGCTTTTGCAAAAATGACCATCAGCTCAGGGAATTGGTGGGTAAGGAGGGCCAGCATGGCTGAAAAGGAACACAGGCCTGCTGTGAAATGGATGAAAAAGGGAAGTTCCTTCTGGGGGTAAACGGAGACTTCGTGAAATGCTGAAAGGAAGAAATGAAGAATGTTGACATTTGATAATCAAGAACTGCTCTCTGAATTATTTATAGCCTTGTAACTAATTTCTGAACTTTCAGAAGGAAAGACTCCTGCTGCACATCTTAGGTTCCAGCACTTAACTTCTTAAAAATTTTTCCCCTACATCACATGCTTGTTTTCATTATGAAGCGCCTTCACATATTTGTTCTCATTATTAATATCCTCTTCCCAGGCTTCTTTTTCACTTGCATGGGCTTTATTTTTGAAGTATTTAATCAGGCTCAGTTTTTAGTACCTACTTTTCTAACAGGACAGAGGAAACACCAGTAAAGTTCACAGGTTGTCAAAATTACCTGAACCAAATAAACAGTTCAGGTGTTTTCAACTCTCTAGAGCTCTAATCCTGTTACCTGGAAAGAACAACACATCTCCACACCCCATGAGAAGCTGAGCAAGTACAAAACAACCAGCATGCTGCACACACTTCTTGAAGACTTCTGGTTGTGGACTACAGTAAATCTGTTCAGAGCAGCTGACAGAGCAGACCTCAAAGAAAACAGTGCCAGGACGGGGTTATAAATTCTGTACATAGCAGCTCCTTGCAATTTCCAATTTCTGGTAACAGAATCCAAAGCAGGTGATTAGCCAGGCTAAGGGTGGCATGTGGAGCTTTCAGCACTCACAACACTACTACTGGTCACTCGCCGAGGACCTGCTGGCTGAATTTGCAATTACTGGCTCTGGATACCTCCAGCTCTGATTTCTATCTAATGATTTCAGAAAATTTTTAAATGAAGAAAAAATAGTTTCTATAGACATAAGTAATCGTAAAAGGACTGCCCTTCTTGACAAGCTGTTTTTAAAATCTAACACAAACCTCAAATTATAAATGAGCCTTTTTTTGTAAAATGAGAAAATACAATAGTATTCTTTCTTAAACTGAAGCCTGTGGAGGAAAAAGACACTTTACCTTCCCAGTTACTGCTTCTGAATGCTAACACATTAAAGCACCATTAGAAGAGTAAACCCAGCAAAAGTGTCTTGTGCTTTTGCAATTCATTAATGGCAAAGTGCTCAGGGTTTGTTTTGGTTTCAATCATATGATTTTGGGGCACAATTACATAGACTATTTGGAGATCCATGTCTAAGATCCATCAGAGATGTTAATGGTACCCAGAGATTTATATTCTATAGAAACTCACCTCATTTCTAAAACATGGAGCAATAAAATTTAGTAAAGTGCTTAAAAAATAGCAATTAATTCTTTTTGCAGTAGCTTTTCCTACGTTGGGAAATTAAAACCAAATTCAAGACAGGTAAAGACAACTAAAGCTAATTCTATTCGTTCACAGACATTTGAGAAGTGTTACTCATCAGACCAATCCAGGTTTTTTGAATCAATGGTTTGGTCAACATTATTTTAAATAGATAATTTTTTTTAAATTAAGTGTCAAGATTTCTCGAAGAAGTACTGCAATAAAAGTGTTAAGATGATTTTATTTATAGGTAGCTCTATATTTAAAACAAAACAGGAATGCGTGAGTGATCCTGTTGAAATATCTGCATGTGTTGGTGTTTAATTATGCTGGGAAGTCTACAATTTAGGGTTAGTTCCTAACCAAGGAATTCCTTGTGCAATATCCTGCATAAGTGAGAAATGAGTAATTTAAAGCAGTCTGGGGGCAAATTTAAATTACACATTTTAAATATAACTTCAGGCTTTTAAATAGAAACACGTCTGTGCAGTTTTCCTTTCCACAGCTGTGGTCTCTGAAAGGCTGCTGGTGCTTTTGCAGTAGCCCTTTCCAGTCCCAGGGGAATTGTGTTTCTTCAAGATGTAGAAGTTCAACCCCAAAGGAATTCAATTAAGATGTATAATTAACAGCTCAATTCTAATCTAAATTAAAGTTATTTTCCTAAATATCATGACTACAGGCAGTAATGATATAGTCTATTTGTAGAAAAAAAACATGTAGGCCCATCACTGCACAAAGTAACATTGAAGCAAAGAGCAGCTGGAAAAGACTTTTCAGTATCAAGTGTTAGTATAAATCCATAGAAATACATGTAGAAAAAGTTCCAGGAGGCAGCCAGCAGGTCAATACAGACCACTGAATTAATGACAGAAAGCAATACATCTTCTATGAAGCCACAGGTTACCCAAAGATTCTCTGTAAGATCACAGACAGGTTTTACTGGATACCCAATGCAGGACTGGAACCATGGATTGACTCCTTGCTACAATCAAATCCATGAATTCTTTTAAAAGCAATTTTTAACAAATGGTCAACTTAGTTATTCTCAAGGTTGGCCAGACTCAGTCTGAATGTACCACACACAGATTTAATCTCTGAAGGACTTAGGTTATTACTGCATCTAGCTGACATTTAGCACACACACAAGTCAAGTACTTCAGGATCTGCTGGGAGGGACATCAACAAATAGCTGAATCCCCTTCACAGGAAGCTCAAACTAAAAAAATCACAGTAAGGTAAATACAAAATACCACAAACTGAACACGTCCTTAGCCTGTGTTTTATTATCATTACTGCTTAGAAACCACTTACTTGGCAACAGTTCTCTGTCTGCTGTTTCTGTGCAGCTCGGGTAGGGATAGAAAAGATGTCCTTTCTCTAATGGGTATGGAATCATCCTAAATGCTGCAAAAAGGGTGAGTGATATTAGATCTGAATCTAATCAGGCAACCAGCTTCTCACAAAGAGAACCAATCATGTCTGAGGGGAGTAAAGGCAGAGAGACTAGTCTACTGTACAGAAAAGAATAACAGGAGATACTTACTGCCTTCCCATGTGCAGTGCAGCAGATTGAGAGCCCCTTCTATCCTCTTCCAGTGCTGGAGGTGAAAAAAAGCATATGCTACTGCCTCACTGTCCCCTCGCTTCAGAATGTGCTCTGGAGGCAGCACCAGGCTCTTCATTTCTAGTAAATACTGAAAGGAAAAATGGACAGTACACCTGGTTACATGGAATGGTCCAAAACCTCTGATTGTGAAACATCATTGATCATTTTAGGCGTAACTGAGCGCACAAGGGGCCAGGGCCAGCTTCTGTCACACAGCAGCCAGGCTGCACTAAGTGAGGAATGAAAAGCAGCAAAACACACTCCCCGTGTATGCGACTCTTAAATTAGGCTTTCACACACACAAAAAAAACATACTGCTTCAGTAAGACAAAAATACATTCTTGTGGAACAAACATTAAGTATAATGCTGCAGGTGCTACACCAAGGAGGGACAAATTTAGGCTGATAAAAACCCCAAACCAGCAGTATTTTTGCTCATTACTTCATCACTGAAAGTTTCAATGTAGGTGGTTGAGGACTTGTTAGCTCTGAAGTATGAACAGCAAACCTGAAAGTGTCAGCGTGCTAACCAAAAGAAGAATAATAAACCAAACCCAGGAAAATCTTTCATGTGGCCTTACTGGGCTACCACAAAGTATCTTTGATTTCAGATTTTTTCAATTTCAGCCCTCTTCCTCCATCAGCAGAAAATAGGATGCTCAGAGGGGTCAAAGAACAAGAAGATTAATCATTTCCTATTTCTTTGCAACACAGAACATGCAATTTTTTAATGTATCACGTTTTCTCATGTTACACTAAAAAAGTCAGGTATTCATTTGAACTTAGCTTTTAAAAACAGATGACTACTTTTTACAAGAATGAAATGACAGTTTCAGCTCTAGTATTTACCTGTGAGCTGTCCTGTCCTACCATATAGTGTCTCATTCAATAACAGCCAAAGTTAATCCACATCTTTGATCAACGTAGCTGCCAATTCCTTGGAGTGTCCCCCAAAGTGTAAGAATGCAGCTAACTCACCGATTTATTTCAGCAGATGCCACAAACTATGAGATTATTTACTAATCCAGTTTGAGGACTTAACTTTTCCCATTCAGCCTCTTCAAGGAATGTAGGAGGGGTTGTGCCCCAGCCAAATAAAGCACATTTGCTGCCTGGCTAGGTTCTTCTCTCAGTGCCTTGGGCCTGCACTCCAGAGGGTAATATTCTTGCTAATCCTCTCTAATCCTCCTCTTTTTTTTTTTTTTTTTTAACACAGTAAAGGATCACTCACACAGCACTGCTGTGGGAAAATGGTCTCAAATATCTGACCCCTGACCCAATCCTCATGCTCTCCCCAGTGCCCACTTTTCCATTATGCTAACTGGGAATATAAACCCAGCAGCGGTGCTGAAGCTCCACTGAAAGTATTGCCACAACACACCAATGTTCAACTCCAGGCTTTGGCTCTCCCTGAGCCCATGTTACCACATAAACAGAAAAATTCCAGTCTGGCAGGTTTTCACATCCATGTTTATGCATAAATCAGGGAAGGTGTCAGTACTGAAGGTGTCTCAGTACTGAACTGAAAGTTTTGAAGTCTTTATACACAATAAAAATCTCTAAGATATTCAGAAGATGACTGCAAAAGACTGTTTCATAAAGTACCACAATGCAGTTACAGATTTCTAATTTGAAATGGCTTAAGAGGACCACTTTTCTAGTTGGTTCTAACTTTCCAAACAAGCCCCAATCTTGTAAAAGCAGGACAAAGAGAAACAATTTATTTTCCTCATGCAAAATATTCTGAACAAAGACAATCACTTTCATCCAATGTGCGAACAGAGGGATTTCCTGCTTTACACACTCCCTTTTATTCTGTGGGATAGAACAGAGTAGAAATTCAAAGATCACATTTTCTTCTCCCTCTGTGATCCACTAGGCAAGCTGCTTCACTTCTCTGCCCTTTTTCACTTGTTTGCTCTGTCCATAAACATTTCAGAGTTCTAAATAGCCTGCACCAGTAATATTCTGCTCTGTCATCTAACCAATTGGTGCCTCGAGGCAATGTTGTAATAAAAAACCCATGAAGAATGGATAGATGTACAATTAGAAGAGAAAATCAAGTTACTGAAACCTGGAATCAGTTTCTGCATGTGTCTGCAGAACTACAGACCATATTTTAACAACAGCCTGTTTGAAACGATCTCTGACTTCTTTAAAAAGGTATATGAGGCTCCAGAAGCAACTGGAGGATACCCAAAACAAAAGAACTTTTAGATAATGATAATGCATTATAATCTTCTGCCCCTAAAGGCAGAGGCTAAAGAAAAATCTGTCTGAGACTGTCTGAAATGAACTTGCTAGGCTCTTGATCAGTCATGCAAAGAAGCAGCAATTTCTCCCAGCAATTAGCTTCCCCAGTGCACATTCTATTGGATTGGACAGGCAGACAGAATGGAGCGGCCGGATCATTCCAGCCTCCCCAGCAGCAGCCACCGGGGCTCCATCATCATTTGCAGAGGATTAGACCCTGCACTGAGCCAGCCTCCTGCTTCAAGGTTCACGCTGCAAGCATCCCCAGTACAGTCAAAAGCAATGCAAGACTTTATTTTCACCCAATGTTCTGTGCATTCTGTGTTTTGATCCCAGACATTAAATTACAGCCTGTGGTGATACAGACTCCTAATCTTGTTTACACGTGGATGGAGAAAATAAGTGTCTGCAGATCTCTCAATAACCATGGAGCCATGGTTGGAAGCCCAGCAGAATAAAGGGGTTTGGAATACTAGAGTGATTATTGTTTGGAGAACTTAATTTGGCTTTAGGGACTTGGAAGCAGGGTCCTGGAATGAGATATCTTTAAGGTCCCTTCCAACACAAACCATTCTGTGATTATTTTATGACTTTAAATATCTACATTTATATTTATTAATGTCCACCCTTATTGAGAGTAAAGGGCCTTCAGTAATACATTATTGGAATTTCCAATGAGCTAGGAAATTTGAAGTTTAAATTTTTGTGCAAAAAACCCTGTTTGAACTATTATTTAAAAAAAAATCTGACCACAAAATATTTATTATATAAATACTAATGTTTTTAACAACTCCATAGTGGGAGTTATAACCAAATTCAAGAAAATATGGGGCTAGAAAGGCTCCAATAACAAAATTACATTATAATACAGTACTTTTCAGAATACATTACAAGTGGTCCAGTAGGAAATAAAATACTCTTACCTTTGGAACATGAGGGTTAAATTCCACAGCTCTGTGAATTGCTTCCACAGCATTAATTTCTGCTGTACTAAGTCCTCTCCTGGAGGCAGTTTCTGGGGAGAACCTGAAGGGAAAAACCCACCTTGAACAAAAGTAATAAATAATAAAAGCTAACCAGGTGTTTATTTGCACTGCAAGCTTAAGAGTTCATTAAAAATTGGCTGATTTATCAAGAAAGATAAACAAACCCCTCTGGGAGAAAAATGTTCATGTTAAGTCAGGTATCTTGACTGCTACCCATGACACATGAAAATTCATGTTGATCCTGACTTTCAGCTCCCTGTTGGCATCACCTGCTGGGAGGTGGGGCTGGGATCAGACCACGGTGAAATGCCAGCATCAACTACCACAAATATCCAAAACACAAATTCCACGCAAAATATTGAAAACAGAATTTACACAAAAGCACTTGGCCAATACATGGGCTTGTGAGAAACATCCTTCCCTGTACTAACTTCATGGATGCTTAAAAGTAGTTTTAGGCATAACCAGGGATGTAAAAAAGACGAAAAAATTTAAATAATTCTAAAGACTAAATAATTTAAATAATCAAAGCAAAGATTTCTTTACAGATTAGAAGTAATTTTAAAACATAAAGGATTTAGACTGTTTTCCTTCATATTTTACATCAAACCCAAGATACAGGAACAAACCATTGTTTTCACTCATGTCCTTGCTTACCTTTCTGAAACAGCTCTGGCTTTTAGCAGAGCTGCTGTGTAACATATTGCTGCTGATTTGGGAAGACTGATATCTGTGATAAAATAAAACAATTAAGCTGTAAGATTCTAAGGCAATACAAACATTTTAAACCCACATCCCTTGAGTTAAAGATTTTTCCTTGGGTATGGGAGACAATGAATTTGACATCTGGAACATTTCAGCTGTGATTAGAAACTTTGAATTTCTTTTTTCTGACAGTCACCAGTCAATCTCAGATTGAAAACTCAAAGTTGTATTTTGGTGAGAGTCACCTTTTGTTTCTAAATGTACCAACACACTGAAACAGAATCCAAGGAGAAATGTGCATATAAATACACTCAAGAATAGAATGTACTTCCTGCATTAACCCACAAAGATCTAAAGTAAGCTTCTGATCTTTACTTAATTTTGCAACTGTACATTAACATAGTTTTGTACAATACTGAGAGACTGACCAGAAGCTGACTGCAAAAAATTACATTACAGACAGGTAGATGAATTTTAACAAAAACGCGATTTCCGTTCTCCTGCAGTTCCATGGGGGAAAATTCTGTTAGTTGTAGCTTTGTAGCATATCTGAAGCCAAGTCTGAGCTGACAATTACAGATTAGAAGGTTAGCACTCCACAGTGCAAGTTTACTTTAAAAGCAGACAAAGTCTGGGGTCTAATTCCCAAGTACCATGTTGTGTATAGTCAGATGGTTCTTGCTTTTTTTGTAAATCCCATCCTGGGCCTGTCCATCACTTACTACAAGCCTGGCTGTTGTGTCAAGCCAAACACAGGGGTGCTGCAGGGAGTTTGAAGCTTGTACTCATTTTTCCAGATGCTCAGAAAAAAATCAGCAATGCTGCTTTCTTAAGAAAGTGTCAATTCCCAGTGTTAACAGAAAGAAGCACTGGGCAAAGTGCAAATGGTTTTCATAAACTAAAAAGAATCCACCCAGAAGAGGATCAAGGAATGGGAGCAGGGTGCTAGGCTGGCCATGTACAAGTGGCACAGGATTTGGGCAAAAATATCATACTTTTGATTCCTTGAGGTGATAAAGAATTGACATAAGAGAGAACTCAACAACTTCTGACAATAACTGTCATAAAATCCTGCTATGTCCCCTCCATTCCAAAGGTGATTTAAGGCCCTGCTTTGACAGCAGCCTTTTGTACACTGATGAAGTGAGCGCTATCCAGGTGGCAAAACTGAGGGCAATAAAAAAATAAGTATATACTTTATTAACCTCTATTTAGACTTGCACAATATCCGAAACCTACTAATCAAGACAGAAAGTGAAAGCAAGCAACACCATTTGATGCACACCATTAACCTCCAGCAGCAGCATGTTTGCACACTGCTAATCTCTGGCAAACAACCTCAGTATTACAGAAGCACAAGGCCAAGCCTGGAAGATGACAAAAAGGAAAATGACCTTTTCCAGCTTATTTACATCAATTACTTACAGGGCTATGTGCTGGCTGAAAAAGGCTGATGAATTTAGGCATATCCAGAGATGTAGAAGAGATTAATTAAAATAATCCTTGAATTGAAGCAAGGATTTCCTTACAGATTAGCAGTAACTTAAAAACACAGAAAGTAATTCATAGCAATTTAGCTTGCCTAAATTTGACCTCAGCAGTCAAAAGGAGAACTTGACCTGCACTCCACAAGCACCTATTTGTTACTGAAGGGAGTCTGCTCACCTTGCTGAGGTCATGGTCACTCCTGCCTGTGGACAGACATCCCCTGCCCATCTCACTTACTCTCTTATTCAAAAACACACACATTTCCAAAAGGCATCACTTACCATCATACTTGGCTAAAACTGCCTGGACATCTGCATAAGCCTGTAACTCCAGAAGGGCCTCGAGGAGGTTTTCATGGATATTCAGCATACTGAGAAGTGGAAACTCTTTCATCAACTGCAAATCAGTAAAGAGAAATAAATTACATGTAGAATTGCAGTTGAATAATTGAAATACTTAAGAGAAATCAGTACAATAATCTAGGGCTTTTTAATGTCCTTTTGTCTCAGAGTGTTAGAGAGTGGCACAGAAGCAGTGTGAAAAGAATTGCATCATTTCATAAAATCACAGAATGGTTTGGGTTGGAAGCAATCAAAGCTCATCTCATTCCAGCCCCCTGCCATAGCAAAAGGACAGGGACATCTCCTACAAGACCAGGTTACAGAATGCCCCATTCAATCATGTGTGAACCCATGGGAAAATAATTCAATGAGATTAATTATGATGCCTAGAAATGAACTTAAACTCATCAGTTAGAACAATGTGATTGAAAACAATTGTTAACTCAGTTTTTTTTACTTTTACTTACATCTCTCATCATTTTTACTGCTTCTCGTATTCTGCCAAGTTTCCTGGCACACATAGCTAGTCTCCTTTTCACATACACCAATACATTGGTATCTCTTCCTGATTACAAAGACAAAAAGAATTAGTCTATCAGTTTCAATCTTTACCTCTCCTAATTATAACTTTATCTTTACATTTCTGCTCACACAAACCCAGGAGTTCATGTGATTCCAAGTCCTTACTCAGCTGTGCTTCATGCTGGGGGCTCTGGGAATGGCAGTTCTGAGATTTTTTGTAAATCATTTCTCCTGCTTTCAGAGCCTGCTTGAAATATTTCTCAGCATCCACAATAGTTGTTGCTTCTTCCTCAGCCAGGAGGACATATGCAGTAGCACAACTGAAATAAGAGAAATAACAAGACAACACAGCAAAGCGTGTCACAGTTAAGGGTGAAAGAAATTCTTTGGTTTATGCTACAGAGTATTTTTAATTCCTTTATAGGAGTGGCATCTGTGAATTCCAAGTACAGTTGTACCATGATACCATCCCTGAAATACATGATCTTATATCCAATTAGGACTGCTCCATAGCTGAATATGATTTCTCATTTGTTATTGCCACTAACACAGCAATTTAAGAAAAAAAGCTGCATAAAAGATGTTTTTAGTAGAAGAGTTCAATATTCCAGGGCAATTTACAGCCCCATGTGCAAGTCCCAGTCTTAAGAGTCCCCCTTAAGCATTCAGAACTTTGCTGTAAGGGAATTATTAGATGAAGAAACTGATAGTGTGCTCAGTATCCTTCCACTTAGTCCTTCACACCAGAAATACAGCAACTGAATGTACAAACTTACTCATTGTTCAACTCCAGAGCTTGATACGCTGCTTTAATGCGGGCCTGCGGGTTCCTCTCTCGCCACGCTTTCTGCATAACTGTGGAAAACACACAGAAAGGCTGTGAGGGACATGGACACCTGTGAAAGACCTGGGAGCCAGCACAGGCAACCCTGGCTGCATGGAGCCAGCTCTAATTAACATTCCCTTCCAGCCTGAAAATTCCTGTTTGCTGTATGATTGTTATAAGGAAGAACAAACATGTGTTTGAATTTCAGCCTGTTCCTACCATAAGCATCAAATTCTTGCAGCAGCTCATTACAGCCCAAATTTAGTTTAAGAAAGCAACACCACCAGGAAGATTCCTCACTGACCATTTCAGAACTCCTACACGGAGCACAGACACAGCTTACATAACCAGGCAGATGTACAATTTCTAAATTGCTACAGATTTTTGGAAACGTTTCCCAAGACTTGTTGAAAGCTTGGCAGAAGCAATTGTTAAACACAGGTTCTTGCATAGACCTGCAAGGAACTTTAATTTAAGCTTTCAAACAGAACTTCAAAGGAAACAGTGATGGAGTAAGTGGTGTCTTGCACAGGTAGAGTTTTATACTAAAATATTAAGCAGCTGTGGCTGCCCCTGGATCCCTGGAAGTGTCCAAGGCCAGACTGGACAATGGGGCTTGGAGCACCTGGGATAGTGGAAGGTGTCCCTGCCAAGGCAGAGGGTGGAGCTGGATGAGCTTTAAGGTCTTCTAGCCCAAAATATTCTGGGATTCTGTTCCATGATTATTTTTCGACAACTGTCAGATCATTAAGGGTCAACAATTTATTTTTAAATTTACAAAGCACATTTGAGTGGCATCACAAGGTGAAGCCAATTCAAGATATACATTTATCAGCTTATTTGGTTTGGGAACAAGTAAAAAGGGTGAAATCTATTCAGAAATGTCCTTTGAACTACAACTTGAATTCAAAATTATTTCAGTGCAATGACTCTAAACTCCTCCTACCATGCTTCCATTCAGTAAAACTGGAAAACAAACTGAAAACCAGCTTCAAGGAAAACAACACATTCAGAGCTACCATTTTCTATGCAGGATTATTAACTTTCACACTAAAAACCAGTCCTGAAAGAACTCCAAAACCTTACATTCATGGAGTTCTATATCTGGCCTATCTCAAGGACGATAAGAAAACTGAAGAATCTATACATGTTTCTTTTGGAACAAAACCTCCTGCTGTCCAGCAAGAATAACGTGGAAAAATATTTGAGTTTTCTTTCAGAAACAAAATATTAGTCTTGGCTCAGCAAGCGAGACAATTCACTCCCTTTTGTGAAATAAAAACACATCTTTCATATCAAACATGTCACAGCCAGCTGACAAGGAACACCTCTGGAATGTGACAAATTGACAATAATTCACACCCACTCTGACAATAACCAGGTAAAGAACATTTTCTGCACTGAACATGTGGAACACAAGGAAAAAAATCTGGACACTGCACTATTCATTACTAAGGTTTAAATGAGACCACATTTTGGCTATTGAAGTTTGCAATATTGTGTTAATTATTTGAAATGTGTGAGATCTTAAAAAATATCAGGACTGTGACAGCACTAAAGTTGTAGAGAACGCACAACGTAAAACAACATCTTTCCACTAAATTTCACTAAACACTAAATTTCTAGGGGCTTGGAGCAGCCTGGTCTAGTGGAAGGTGGCCTTGCCCATGGCAGGGGGTGGAACTGGATGGGCCTTAAGACCCCTCCCAACCCAAACCACTCTATGATCCCCTACATCTATTAAACCTCTTTAGTAGTTGAGAAAGGCTGTAGTTTCATGAAATATTTGACAAAAACTTGCATTACTTTCAAGTTCACTAAAAACACACCCTTGACCCTGTCCAAGACTTCCACACCTTACACACACACCAGTACCTGTGTCTGAAGGCCGGAGGGCATCTGTGTCACATGTGAAAAAAGTCTGATGATCTTGAGCAGACAAATTCATGTCATAGTAAGTAAGAGGCTCCTTCCCAGTCACCCACATGTACCTAAAAGAACGCATTTCAGTAAGAGGCATTCGTAGCAATTAGCAATGCTGATATCAAGGCGATATCTGATGTGCTTAGTGCAGAAAATCTGTAATGAAAGACTAAAGCTTCTAACACAAAGTTTCAAGTACTACTGTTCAATAACCTGTAAAGTTCTAAACAACTTGGGAACTGGCTTCCTAGAAAGCCGCTTCTCCCATGAAGTAACACTAGGAGACTTACAATATAGTTTAATAAAAGAGAATTTAGATTGCTAATCACTGTCTCAATCTCTGAATAAAGGGTTTTTTTCCTACTTTACTCTCAAAAAGCCCTGATGTTACAGTAATATTTTCGTTCTTAACATTGAAACTGCCAAAGCTTGGCTTGGTGCCTTTAAAACACAGGATTGGTATCAATCACCCCTATAATCTTGCAGGTCTCCAGCTGTCTCCTGACACTACCAGTGCAAGCTCTGTGAAGAAGTCACGTGCATGCCCCTGATTAAATTTAAAAATATGCAGTGGAAAGCAAGAAAATTAATACCTGCTATACTCTGCCCCTCTGAAAAGATTGAGAGGATTTCGCCACACTTTGCACTCTGAGGAATAACAAAATAAAAGTATTTTTTAAATTAAAAGCACAGGAAATACTACCTTGACATTAAAATGCAGTAATGCAAATCAGTTGTGTTTTCAAAACCTGCTTTAATTTTATTATTAGGCAATCATCATCTTCATAAACTTCTGCTATTCCATAAATATTTTTGCTCCCCAACATTGCTGGGGTACAAAAGCACAGAGCAAGAAGATTAAGCAATGCGTGTACACTCATGCAATATTTATCTTTAGAACAGTAAATAACTACTGAAACAGTTTTAGCTAAATGTATAACATTTTCTAAATCATATCTTTAACAATGAATGGTTTAGAGTGAAAAACCATTATTATTTAGTTTATTTTTAGCACTACTAACAAAACACTCTATAAGATGTAGGCTTTGTGAAAGCCTAAGTACAAGTACAAGCGCTTTAAAGCGATTAAAAGCCCCCTCAAAGCTTAGGGAAAGCTCCTGGGACACATGAGGAATCACCTGGCATGTTCTGCCTGCTGCTCTCGCTCTCCCCGGCCGAGAAGGCTGCTGGGGCTGGGGGGCTGCTCTCTGCACCCCCGATGAGGGGCCTCAGGTGGCTCACAGAAACCTGCTCGATGAAAGATGTGCCGTACTTTCGGAAGTGCCACCACTCAAACACCTGTCACAGGAGAAAAAGGCGCCAGAAAGCTCCTTAAGTGACACCTTCCCAGCAAACAGGAGGGACAAAGAGCGTTCACAGCGAGTCCATCCCCCTGCCAATGATCAGGGGTGGAACTTATCTCCACACAGAGTAACACCAATGATCTAGTTTGGATCACTCACATGAACATGAAAGACATTGGAAAAAAAACAGCAATATGTTCCTCCCTCCCAAAGTCATAGGGGTAACTCCAAAACCCTTTCAGAAGTACCTGTATAGGGAAACCGTGAACATAGGCAAAAAAACATTATATCCTCTTTTCTGGTGAGGATATTTCAAGCTGCAGCCCTACCTGCAGTACCAAATTTGTAGTATTCAACACAGGTGTATTTTTTTCATTTCACAAAAATAAAAGAATAAAGGATAAAATGGCCCATTAAACTGAGATGTTCTGCTAACCAGAGCGAGTCTAACAAAGAGACAAGGCTAAGTTAACAGCAATGACAGTCACTTAGCAGGAATTCTGGGCCAAAAATATTACCATCTCTTTTTGAAGCTATTAAAATACCTACATATCACAAGCCCTCAAGGACTACAGCAAACTGTCAGCCCTGGACCAGCGTGGATCCTGTGCCTGTCTGCTCTCTCTGGTGAGCAGTGACAGGCAGCAGGAAGCAGCTAGAGCTGTGCAGGGCAGGTAAAGCATTCCAGAATTCTACACAAGTTATCTTCTCAGACTCATACAGCCCCAACATACAGCAAAAGCGCTGCAACAATACATCAGAGAAGTTCCTTCCCAGAACAAAGGCACCCTCTAGAGTCTGATATTCACTCCCTTTACCCCTCATAAAGTCATCTGAGAGGTGCTAAAGTTGTTTAAAAGAAAAGAAGTGGCTACTTACAAATATCAGTCCAGATATAAAAGATGAAGTTACTGTCAGGGCAAAGTAGAATTTTGGAGTCAAAGTGCTTAAGAACATGGTCACTGTTAATAGAAACAAAACCAAAGACTTAAAAGTAGAATTGAAAAAGATAAATAGCTTGTCTATTAAAGAATGCCAAATATCATGCAAATACATAGTACACTATAGCCCTAGCAGCTTTATAATGCTTTACTTTTAGGGGAACCCTCACCATGTATTATTTTGTTTGGATCTACCTGTGACAGCCAATTTTTATACCCCAACAAAAAGAAAAAATCACTGTACATTTCTAAACAGAGCATCTTACGTTTTCACCCATACAGTGGCTAGTGAACCACAAGATGCCAATTTAATATATTATTTCACTTTAAGACAAAATCATTCTGTTCTAATACAGGTTTATATACAGTGCTAACAAACATTCTCCCTGCTGCTATTGAGAGCACAATGCAGAGAATGCAGTTATCCAGAGGTGCTCTGGCCATGGTTTGGACACAAACCACACACCAGCCTGTCACCTGCCACCAGCGCAGGCTGGACAGGGACAGGGCAGGCTCCAGCCTGACAGAGCCCCGGGTGGGAGCACGCAGCAGCACCGGGGCAGGGCCTTGGCTGCTTCCAGCTGCCCCAGGACTGCCCAGTCCTCGGCCGTGTCCCTAACCCGGGTTTGGGGACAAGCTCAGTGTGCCACTGACCGAAGGTGGGATGCACGACCTGCCTGTAGGCACGGCTGGGACACACTCATAGAATCAGAATGTCAATTAGTTTGGAAACGACCTTATCGAGTCCAACCTGTGACCAATCTCCACCTTGCCAACAAGACCAGAGCACTGAGTGCCAGGTCCTGTTCTTCCCTGGGTACCACGATGGGTGGGGACTCCATCATCTCCCTGGGCAGCCGATTCCAAAGCCTGACCAATCTTGCCATGAAGAAATCCCCCCAGATGTCCAACCTGAACTTCCCCTGGCACAGCTGGCGGTCCTGTCCTGCTCCCTGGAGCACAGCCCGACCTGGGGCTGTCCCCTCCTGTCAGGAGCTGTGCAGAGCCACAAGGCCGCCCTGAGCCTCCTTTCCTCCAGGCTGAACCCCTTCCCAGCTCCCTCAGCCGCTCCTGAGGCTCCAGACCCGTTTCCTTCTCTGGACAGACTCCAGCCCCCAACGCTCCTCCCGAACGGGTCCCAGACGCGTGCGGAGCCGCCCGCCGGAGCGCGGCACAGCGGGACAGTCCCTGCCCGGTGCCGCCGGACCGCCGACACAGCGACACAGCCCGAACACAGCTGGGGGCTCCACGGGCAGGGTCCGCCTCCCCCCGGCGCGCCGCTCCCCCCTGCCGCCCTCACCGGCCGCCAGGCCGTCCCGGAGCCGCACCGGCACCCGCAGCACCGCGTACAGGAGCCCAAGCCCGGCGGCCGCGGCCAGGAGCCCGCGGGCCCAGGGTGTCGCAGCCCGCCGCCGCAGCTGCTCCCAGCGCCGGAACGCCGCGGCCGCCCCGGGGCACGGCAGCCCCCGGCCGCTCGCACCGCTGCCGCTGCCCTCCGCCATCACCGCCGGCGGGGCACGCCGGGACAGGGGCGGGACAGCACCGGGGCGGGGCTCCGCCAGCGCGGGGAGCCCGCTCACCGACCCCGTCGCTACTGCTCCAGGGCGAAACGCGGACTGATCATCCTCCACATCCCAGCTAGGATGTCCGGAGGCTCCGGGGCGCGGCAGGTCCGCCGCCACCGTGCTCCCGGTAGCGAGAAACGTGCCCGTTCCTGGGATGGTGCCAGCACGGCGTCTGCCCGCAGCTAATATGGCGGCGGCCGCGCTTCCGGTCTACGGCTCCCGGCCGTCTCAGCCCACGGGGCACGCCGGGACGACCAGGGCGGGGCTCGCGTGGGCAGCCTGTTCGTCCAGTCCATCACCGCTGCTTTTCCCGAGCATATCCCACACGATGACCGGGACCCACAAGCGCTCCGGGAGGCGGCGGTTCTGTTATCCGGTACCGGGAGAACCCACCCGTTTCTGCGATGGTGACCACGCGGCGTCTGCCCGCAGTTAAGATGGCGCCGCCAGCGCGTTCGGTCCGCCGCCCAGCGCTCCCGGCATGCACTCTGCGGGGCCGGGCACACAGCTGCCAAGATGGCGGACCTGGAGGAGCGGGTGTCGGATGAGGAGAAGGTAAAGGGAGGGGGTGGCCCTCTCTCCGCCGTGGGCCTGTGTCCCTGCCCCCGGGAGGGCACTGGCTTGGGAGCGGCGGGCGAGCTCATCTGGTGCCGGTGTGCCGGCCTGCGAGTGCTTCGGGGTGGGCGGGCTCCCGAGACCACCGGGCCGCCGCCGCCCGGCTGAAGGACCGGCTGTTCCTTACCTGCACTTTTCCTTCCAAATTCCTCATTGCTTTCCCATTTCCTCATTGCCTTCCCATTTCCTCATTGCGTTGGTGCAGATGATGGGTCTCGGCCAGTCGTTTTGCATGAAAATGGATATAGTCTCAACCTAAACCAGGGGATGTGTAGGTTGGACATCAGGCGGAGCTTCTTAACAGAAAGGACAATTAGACATTGGAAGGGGTTGCTCAGGGAGGTGGTGGAGTCCCTATCCCTGATCAAGGAAGGACTCGTGGCACCCAGTGCTCTGATCTTGTTGACAGCGTGGGAGACAGTCACAGCTGGATCGCCTGGTGATCTTGAAGGTCTTTCCCAACCAAAATAATTTTGTGAAAATGTGTTTTCTAGGCTGTTTTTCCCAAATCAGCAAAGTAACCAGCGTGTCTCTAAGGTGCTTTGCAATCTCTTCACTTCCTAAACACCCTCCGAGTATGCTGTTGCATTTTCTGCTCACCCCAGATGCTGACAGGAACTGCGATGCAGATCCTGAGAATTAAGCTGGATGGAAAGGACTAAGTCAGAGTAAATAGAGCCATAATTATTTTAGGAAAGGGGGAAATGAGCAGTTTGTTCTTCTTGTGTAGGAATGTGGAGAAAGTTACTGCAAGTTCGCTGCTTGGTAATATGCTGTTGTCTGCACGCAGTATAAAAATGTACTGTTACTCTTCCTTACATCACAGAAGTGTTACACTTATTGCTTGCTTCATTTCTTAATATTCTGGAGGAGTTGTTCAGGCTCATGGATCTTCAAGGATCCTACAAGGCCGGCTGTTGCTTTCATTTTTCCTTTAAACTGCAATTTCAGCTTCATTTCAGTGACATCATCTGTGAAACAAGCAGGGCTTTAGAGGTGCAGTTCATCTGTTAGTATTTTAGGTGATGTTGTTTGAAATAAGTATTCCAGAGCAGAATTGATATAGGCCTTTAGAACATTCTATTTCAACTAACTCCATGGCTCACACAGGCAGAGAAGGATAACCTCAAGGGAGGATCTGAAAGAGAAACATGCAGCAAGGATTTTCTGTAGCATGTGACTATTCAGATGAGACGAGAACTTTATATATGTTAATTTTTTAAGTTTGAGTTTAACGGTACTTTAAAGTAAAGGAAAAACTCAAAAACGTCAGTTGAGCAACAAAATTAATTCCTTCCATCCTCCAAGCTTCACTCCTTTATTCTCTTTGGGCGTATTTTAGGTAAGAGATTAATTTCTCAGACAGGCTGGGAAAGCTGGGGGTGTCCAGTCCAGAGAAGAGAATGCTCCAGGGACATTTTAGATCCTCTTCCAGCACCTAAAGGGGCTCCAAGAGAGCTGGGGAGGGACTGGGGACAAGGCCTGGAGTGACAGGGGGGACAGGACGCAGGGAATGGCTCCCACTGCCAGAGGGCAGGGATGGGTGGGAGACGGGGAATTGGGAATTGTTCCCTGGCAGGGTGGGCTGCCCCTGGACCCCTGGCAGTGCCCAGGGCCAGGCTGGACACTGGGGCTGGAGCACCTGAGACAGTGGGAGGTGTCCCTGCCATGGCAGGGGGGACACTGGGGGAGCTTTGAGGTCCCTTCCAACCCAACCAGTCTGTGATTCCGTGGTTTTCTTGTAAGTTCCTCTGAAATCTCCCGTTTTGCTCAAGCTCATTCTGCTGCTGTTTTGCCAGTTTAAACTAATGGCTGAGCAGCTTCCCTTCCCCTCAGACACTTTCCCCATTTTAGAAGCAGGAAGTTGATGCTGCAGAGCTGAAATGACACCTGAAATGGCCCCAGGGGCCAGGAAATGGGGCAGTTGCAGAAAGTCCTATTTTGGTGTTTCTGCAGAGGAGCATCCTGACACCGCCCTCCAATCAACCCGCTCCGAAAACCAACAACCGTTCGAGTGCTTGACATTTCAAATTAATCTCTCCCCAGCCTGTTTCCTGCACTCCTGATTTCAATAGTTTGACCGAAATGTTTTCTATTTTATTGATCAACTACACAAGATACTGTCTTTTTAACGTTTTCTTTGTATTGCTTAATTTCTTCAGGCACAAATAATATATATCTGTTTTTCAAAATCATTGCTAATTTGGAAGACAGTCTATTTTTATCTGAAACTCAGTCCAGTTAAGGCAGAGTTGTTACTTGATCCTGTTGGAATAAGGCAAGTACCTTTTGTTTGGAAAGGTATTTATTTCTTTTCATGGCTTGCTTAAAATAATTATGTGACAAACAATACAAACAATTTCTAATTAAAACAGAGAAGACTGTTGAGAGAAGTGAGTTATTTCCAGCTCTGGTGATAACTCAAGTGAAGCAGTTACATATATAAACACAATTCTTTGTTTTGCTGCTCAGAATGAAAAGTAGAAGATAATCAGAGTTCTAATGAACAATTCTTTAGTCACTTTCAATAAATGTCTTGTTAGACCAGAGAGGCTCATTGGTCAGCTTTGTTAGCTGGAAATGTTAGCTGTCAGAGGAAATGGGATGTTTTTATTACTCTAAGGGAGAGGTTTAATTTTGTGGCATTTCCTTTTTCATTTCTTCCAAGATCTTTCTGTTCCCTTTGGTCCTGCAAAAGCTATAAAAGGTTTTATAATGAAAACCATAAACTCTTACCAATTCCAATAGAACCAATATTTGGACCACCTAAATTCTAACTGTGCAAGACATGTATATTGGATTTCAGAACACATTGCAGTTTAATTACACTTTTAGAAGAGACAGGGTTTTTCTCTTCCAGATTTGGAGTTTCTGGACATTGAAATTTGGCTTTCTCAGTTATTAATGCCTTCCTTCATCATCACGTGCCTCCATAGAAACCCAGAATGGTTTGGGTTGAAAGGAACCTTGAAGATCATCAGTTCCACCCCTTGCCCACTTTCCACTAGACCAGGTTGCTCCAAGCCCTGTCCAGCCTTGCTTTAATCAGTCTTACAAGACTATTTCTACCTTGACAATGCATGCCTAGATTTCTCCCTAAATCTGCCACCTTCTCTCCCTTCAGAGGTGGTTTTGTTGGTGAATTGCTTCAATATGTGTGAACTCAGTAAGTTATCTTTTGTCTTTAATTACTTTTCTACTTCATTGTAGGTGCGTATAGCTGCAAAATTCATCACTCATGCTCCCCCTGGAGAGTTCAATGAAGTATTCAATGGTAGGCAATTAAGGAAAAAATGATCTGTGGTGTTTTCTTCATGTTTTATCTATTATAAGAATCTAAGGCTGTGTCACACCATACTGCTTTTAAGGTTAAGTGGCCTGGGAAAGCTTGCAGTTCTTCTGGACTATTTCTGCCTAATGAAATTGTTTCTTTTAATGTTTGCACGTGTACAGTTGAAAATAAAGTGCATAAAGAGAAGCATTTGATAAAAAATCCAGTAACACACCTGGACCCTTTCTTCTCCAGATGTCCGGTTATTGCTTAACAATGACAATCTTCTCAGGGAAGGAGCAGCACAGTAAGTACTGAGATTTCAAACACAAGTCAAATTACCATCAGAGATCCTTCTGTTTTCTTATACCCATCATTCTGTGACAAAGAAAACCATTTGCTGCATTCAGAGCAATCTTATGTAATTCCTTAGCCCACCTAACAAAGTACATAATGAAAGGTGTGGATGATTCTTTTTAAAAGCCCTAGATGGAAATTTGTGCTGTATAAAACTGACAGGAAGGCATGCTGCCAAAAAGTTTAACTCTGCAGCAGCAGCAATGTCTGATCATGTTGAATCATCTGATTTATAAAGTTAGTGAAGCCTGAAATACTGATTAATCCATAGCCTAAGTTTAGAAAAGGAACTGCCCTCAATAAAAATTTGTTGTTTACTTCCACAGCTTCATCAGAAGGTGCTTAAAGATTACACATACAGGCTTTTTGATGCTAAGATATATTTCAAGCTAGGTGGCATGTCAGTCAGCAAGTCTTTGCATAAGAAAATTGGTGTAAATATTCGTCTACTCATTTATTTACCTTGCTGCTGTCTAAATTGTAGCTGGGGTGTTCCTGTTTTGCCTTGGCTTGCTCACATTTCTGCAGGCTATCTCCTGTTCTACTTTTGAACTCTGTATTTTCCTGGCCATCCCTAAACAAACATGCTTTTTGACCTGGGGTTTATAGCTATCT